GAGTTTGACTCGATCAATGCCTTTATTTTGTCATCATCAACCTCAGTGGGCCTCCCCGACCGAGGAGCATCGTTGAGATCAAAATCACCAGCACGGAATTTCATGAACCATCGTTGCCACTGACGTTCTTGTAGAGCATTGTCACCTTAAACTTTATGCAACTTTTCACAAGCTTGACACGTGTTCTTCCCTTTATGGAAGTAAAACAGTAAAATATGGCAAAAACGCACAGTTTGGTCTTCCATCTTCAACTTGTAAAATCTCCAAAACTGAACCAAATCGCTCAGTTTTTTTTTTAGAATGAAGCTAGAACTGTCAGCTGTCAAATGACATAGCAATAACATAAATGTGAATGACTCTAGTACTTCCAAAAATGAACTAGTGCCATCTGTTGCAAACATGCGTCATGACTTTTCCACAGCCCAGTATTTTATTCCTAAACTCATGAATATTCCGACATCATTCATTAAGTCAGAGTGAGGCGGGAGGATGGGGGTCAGCATGCTTGGGCTGCCAGTGCTGACATGGCCAGAACTACCTTACACGAGGTTCCAGGTTTCCCCTGGTTTTTGTGTGTTTTACTTTTTCTTATTCATAAAATGCAGATTCAGGGCTTATCGCTTATTTGCTTCCAGCTCTAAAACATTTTGGTTATATGAGAAATGTAAACATGGGCATCACTCATTCAAATTAAACAGTCACTTCTATCTAATCAAGAGAAGGAACAGTTAACAGAAAGCAGCCAGAATAAATATGCACTGACAAGTGGTTAAAAGGCTAGAGCAAAGGAGGCTAAATTTTGAATAAGTTAAAGCTATTTATTTATAACTTCAAAGGTTGGCCTCCTACAGTCTGTTAATGAAACATCAAGGAAGCAAACAATTGAAATGGCAGAACTACCAGTTCTGGGTAAAAACAGAAAGAACCTCAAGTCATACTTTCTCTAGCTACTCAAGGTGCTGTCCATCAAAAACATGCAAAAACATAAGTAATATAAATGATTATTATAAAACCATGTTTATGCTACAACCCAGGGAAAATACCTGTTATCGTTTTGGTGTATTTCTTTTTCTATGTGCATAATAAATTTTTGTTTAAAACTGTAATACATGTATATTGATCTGAAACATATTTTTAAGGCATTATATTTAATTATGTGGGTATCCCCAAATTAAACAGAGCTCTCACTTTTGTACCCTAAAGAAGCTGTTTCAAGTTTTCACATATTATAACAAGTACTGCAACAAATATACATAAAACTTGAGGGACACTTCTGATTAATTCCTCAGGATAAATGCAAAAAGCAGACTGAGTCAATGGATATGAATATTTTTACAACCTTCCTGATAGATACTGTCAGACTGCCCTTCAAAATGGTAGCACTGGGTTTTTAAAGAATTTAAGAATAAACTGCATGAATCGTCTGCTCTTATCTTTCAGTGTAAGACAGATGGGGTTTGAATAAGAGGAGATTAAGTCTCTTAGAAAACAAATAGCAGAATTAGACAAAGTAAAGAAATCACATAGTTAATTCAGTATGATTTAATAGATAATGGGCTTTAGAGTCTGTAAATTTTGTTCTCTGAATTATTCTTTGGGTTTCTGACATTATTGAGTTTTGATCATGCTTATAATTAAAGTTTGTATTCTGATTCTAAATCTTTGGTGCTATATTTAGAATCTTACCCTAAGTGACCTTTGAATCTAGGATACAGTCCCAAATGGCCACCCACAACAGTGAACCATTTCTATAGATGAATGATATCTGGGGACAAAAACTCTCTTCAGAGAGATGTGAAAAATCTAATTAAAAAATGTTTCAAACTAAAAGCACAAATATTGGTTAAGTCATTTCAAATGTTATCTTGACACTAAAACAAGAAAATAAACAAAAAATACATATCAAATAAAAAAGGAGAGGGGAGAAAATTATAGGAAAATAATCTAAAAGATAAAAAGCAGAAAGATCAAAATAAAAAAGAAATAGAAACACTAAGGTGTATTCCATAAATTAGAAAACCTCACTTAAAAGAAATATTAACAGAGGTAACGGCAATGATTACACACAGTCAGTGGCAGGGAGATGGAGAAACTAAGAACAGAAACAATGGAATAAGTAAGTAGAAGAAAGTGAATAAATGGTCAAATATCATTTGATGTTACATACAGTGTTGTATCTCACTTTTGTCTACACAATTATTCAGTCACTTCAACTCAGCAGGACCTAGAGAGCTGAGAACTAGAAAGCCAGGAGAAAAAGGAGGCTCACACCAGCCAAACCGGCCAGTCATACTACAAAAGCTCCCGTGCTGCTCTCATGGTGTGCTAGTAATTATTTTTGTCTTTACTTTAAATAAAATGCTAAGAAGTTTGGTTATGTTTCCTCTGTCAGTAGCCTATCAAAAGTAAATCACAAGTAAAGAGAGATTTATAGAAACTGGTACACTGATAATACCATCATATTCACCAGTGATAAAGGATGGACACACACACACACACACACACACACACACACACACACACACACACACACATCACCATCACAACCACCACCACCACCATCACCAACTACAACAACAAAAACTTAAGAAGTGAAAAAGCACAATAATTTAAAAACATGAGATGGGACAAGCAACCCAGAGCCGCACAATTAGCCCTAAGTGCATAAGAGTCCCTAAGAGATGAAAAAATACTGAAGTTATGATCAGTGAGCTCTGTTTAAGATGGGAGGGACAGACCACATTTAAAGTGGTTTCAACCCTGAATAAAATTAAAAAGTGGAGACAGGCTTCAATACCTGAAAACTTTATTATCTTAAACACCTCATTTTTTAGGCAAGGAAATTATGGTACAATAAAAATAATGAAACAGAGCTACAGATGGTAAAGAAACTATAACTTTGAACATGAAGGAGATAAATAAACCATATTTTAAATCTATGTGAATAATATAAACATGGTAACGAGTGACCTAGCGTGGCTTGTATCTCATCATCCCATACACAGTGTACAATGACCTGGCATTCTGAGCACACAGACATGCCACATTTGCCTGGGCATGTGTACTTTTGTGCCATGTGAATATTGGGCACTTGTGTTCCTTCACGAAGTTCAAAATCCACATAAAAAAAACACAAAAAACCCTGCTATCACTTGGACCCCTTCCATATTTCACGTAGCACTAGAAGTTGTACTTTTCCACTAACAGTTAGAACAGAGAACTGCAGTAATTTTATTACTCAATCAACAATTTGTATTTGGCAAAATTCTGGCACTCACTATTTGCCAGGTAGCAAGTCTATGGAGATGTAACAGATTTAAACATAGAAACTTGAAGACTCCAGAGTCATCTAGAATGTGTATTTATATAATTGATTTTCTATTTTTCTACTAGTTTCCCTATAACTAATAAAGATGCAATGTATAATTTTTATCTGGTATCATTATTAAAAAACAAAATCCCAACTTCTTTTTCTTTTATGTTTGAATGAAATATAATTGCATCTGAATTATCTTCCTCAGATAAACACCATGTTAGAATTTAAAAAATTTTAAGAAATCTCAGCCCAGAAGAGTAATATCACCATGTGAAAAAACTCAGCACCGAGTATTTAAATAAAACTATGATTTTCACTACCAAAAAATTTGTTTTACATAGCAGCTGATTTTGAAATGAAGACAAACCGGATAACAGTTTAACCAAACATATTATCTAAGATCTTTCTTTAGAAAATCGAAATGTTTATCTAGTGAGCCATCTAGCTTTCCAACTTTCAATGTCATGGTAACATGTAAGAAAAAGCACAGACAGCAAATGCACCTCTGAAGTAACCTTGCCCAAAAGCTTGTGCTTGAATCTGATCAAACCTCTGTATCTTTCAATTAAACAAAAAAATGTAGGGCACAGAGGCACGTCGTGGGGACACAGTCATCAAAATCCAGCCTATGAGAAACGCTACAGGACAGATGACCCAGTTTCTTCAACAAATCAATTCAGAGGGTATCTCAACACTGCAATAAAACCCACGGCTTCAATCTCACCTCCCTGAAACCTGCCAGTTTCCTACTCCATGGCACTTGTGTTATGGCACTTTGATCACTGTACTGTATCACATGTGTGTCTCCCATTACAGGGCCAGCACAGTGGAGGATGACAAAGGAGCTTAGAACAGGAATCTGAAGCTAGACAACCTGAGCTGAAATCCCAGCTTCGCCCCTCAGTTAACTCATCTATGAAATGGAGAAAAGACCACCTGTTGTGCAAAGAAATTTTAAGGATTCAGTGAGAAAATATATGTAAAGCACCTAGTACAATGCCTGGCATATCTTAGGCAGTTAGTACTATCTAATGAGTGAATAAATGAAAACCATAAGCAGAAAAATTAAGTAATTGTGCATTTCACCTCCTTTGATTTCATCTAACCACCTCTTTATAGTATTTACTGAACAGTAAAATACCAAAATGGCCAACAGTAAAAACAAAATTAAGAACAATAACTGAAAAAGCAGGCTATCAATTTCTAAACAACTGTGCTTGGCTCTACAGTGCTAAGAAACAGTTTAATCAAAGCAAATACCATCTGATGAAGAACAGAGTTATTAAGAAAAAGGCTCTTCTTGACCAAACCCGGTAAAAGTAATCAAATTTATTTTCTAACCAAAAACAGTCAACATACATAATCATCTTCAAGCACAATTTCTAATAATATGGAAAATTTCTTTTAAAGTATTTTTAAAATGTCAACATTATTGTTTTGAATCGCCTCGATTTTCTTGCTTAAAAAAAATAAAAACTAAACAAATTACTTCACCCAACTTTTCCATCTGAACAGTAGGTGGCATAACTTAACATACTCTGAGCCAGGTGAGTGATGTGGTGGTAGTAATAAAACAAAAAAGGTTCAATATAGCATCATCCAAAATTCTGATAATATTCATTTAAAACTCTTACAAAGTCCTAATTTGAAAACAAAATCTTTCAAATAATATGAAAATACTTACATCTCAATTTGTCCAGCATTTTTCCACCACACATGGTTGCTAACATAGCTTTAACTGAAAATACGGTCAACTTGCCTCGGCCCTCACTGCAAAATAAATTATATTAGAAACAATTGCTATCTGGAACCACAAAAGCAATAAAATGTATCACTAAACATCAAGCAACAAGTCAAGTGGTCCCCACCCTTATTGCCACTGCATTACCTTGAATTTTTAGACACCTTGGATTTTTTTTTCCCTTCCTCTGTAGAATTAAGGCTTCATCTATACTTAGGTGAATAGTGCTATAACTAACTTGAATTATTTGGAAATAATTTTATAAACATTCTGTAAAGCAATTTCTGTGGGCTTTGTAGGCAGAGGCCAAATGGATGGACCAGAAGTAAATTTCCTATCAACGGAGCCCATTCAATCAACAGCTGAGGCATTTTTAGGTATTCAAATATGAGGCACCACTTGTTTTGAATAATAATTCAGAAACATGTTCTTCCATCACACTATTATAACACTTGATTGTTATGTACTAAGCCAACAGGGTGCATGCACACAGCTATGAAGATTTTATAGGACATTCACCTTTGTTTTTACTGTGACAATCTTTATGTTACCATGTGTTTATTCTGAGAAGCTCAGTCACATCTGCCTCACAGCTTTCCACACCACAATTGTGAGAAAAGTGAAGGGGAGAAGATGGTGACATTAATTCCTTTTTTAGGAATCAGACAGATGAAATGTAGAACATCAATGAATTACCCAAAGTAACGCCGCATACCACCTGCAGACCAAGACAGTATCAGCAGGGCCCCTGACCCACAAGCCCACTGCTCCCTCCATTCAACGCTGCCCTGGTTTCACCACGAATGAAAACGTCACTAGCTGGCTTTTCAAATCGTCGTATGTAAGTAAACAAGGGACTCTTGTGCTAATTCTACACAGCTTGTGCTTACTAAGTTTCAGAACAACTTAGTAAACTACCTTTACAATAAGGAGAACTATTATTATCTTGGTTTTGAAAAGCAATTGTCATCTATTTATTTTTACTAATGGTCCTAACAGAGTGTCTCCCAGTTTTCCAAACCTTCTTTGTATATAGTACAGTAAGATCACAGTTGAAAAAAGGCAAATGGTTATAAGCCAGAAGGTTCTCAATGAAAACATTTCCAGGAAATGCCAATGTTTGTTACACTCCGATTTTTTAACTATTAAAAAATCTCATGAATAAATTTATTCATAAGATAAAATAGGAATCCCTAAAACTAGCTAAAATTAGGGTGGGGTTTTAAAAATACGGCCAGATAGCTCAATAAGTAAGAGCGCGAGCTCCAAACAACGGGGTTGCCGGTTCTATTCCCACATGGGGCAGTGACACTTTGCCCTCTACAGCTAGGATTGTGAACAATGGCTCAACCTGAAGCTGGGCTGACGTGAGTGGCTGGCTGACTGCCTCAGTCGGGTAGAGTGCAATGATCATAATACCAACATGGGCCAGTGAGTGGCATTCTCCACAACTAGACTGAGAACCACAGCCGGAGTGGGGGGTGGAGGATAAATATATATTTTTTTCTTCAGAAATACAGATTCTGTCCCCCATCAAACCAATGCACCCGGAAACGATAAGGACTGTTCCTATGTCCAATATCCATTGCATTACATGAGCAACATCAGTGGCTATAAAGAGCATCAATTGTATTAAAAGGAATGGATTTCTAAGACTGATACAGAAATTTTACAGTGGACATTCATTTCCTTTTGGTCACCAATCATCCAAACGCCTAGTCTACATTTTAAACAGACCCTACCTTATGCAACAAGGACTCTTTCCACTACCAAAGAATGAAGAAAGGAAAAAAAAAAACCCCAGGTATTTGCTTTCCCATCTTTCTTGGCATGTGTGCACACACACTCCACCAATAAGATGCGCCACTGCAGACTTCCAATAGAAAACTATTAACTTTTAGAAGTTGGAACTCCAAACAGTCCACCTGTCGAGGATGGCAGCAGTCACACCCAGTGTCCTGAGGCAGCAGAGACAGAGATTCTTGTGGCAGCGCCCACAGCCCAGCATCAGTAGTGTTTGGTGCACAGGCAGCAATATCTGTACGCAGGTTCATGGCAGAAGTGCTTCTTGAGACCAGTTAGTGTGACTCTGAACTTTATTCTTAGCAGTGTGGTCTTCAAGCCTAAGCTTTCCCAATCCTCTCAGACAGTGTGTAATAAAATCCACATCCTTTCAATAAATTAGCCAGAGATGGTTTCTCCTGCTCATAACCAAGAACTCTGAGGGATGCAGCTTCTATCCTGAGTACAGTGGCCCAGAAAGATGAAGCAACCAAAGGAAACATTGCTGACGTCCAGAGTGAGAGGAAACATGCCCAATAACCAGCAGAGCAAGAATGAAGAAGTGCTCACCACCAGAAGAGTCAAGCCTTGATGCACAGCTAATGACATTTTTTTAAAGGAAACATGCTCAAAACATGTTTTGCAGACACAGATTTCATGATGCAAGAATATCCAGGAAATTCCACAGGGGCAAGTAAAAATCAATCTTAGGAGAGATGCCTATAAAAATAAGGATCCTGATTATATGTGGGGGAAGAGAAAGGGCTGGAACCAAGAAAGGAGCTTCTGGGGTGCTGACAGCATTCTTTCTTGGCCTCTGTAGTACTTACACGGATATTTGTTTTATAACAATTAATTTTACTGCACTTCATTTTCTGTATTTTTCTGCAGTTGTTTTCTATTTCTCAATAAAACTGCTTGTTTTTTAAAAAAATTAACATTTATTTGGGGTGACAATGGTCAACAAAACTACACAGGTTCCAAGTGTACACTTCCATAATATATCATCTGTAAATTGCATTATGTGTTCAATAAACAGTGAAAACAATAAAAACTTTTAAAAAATGAATCCTGGGAAAGTGAAGGTTACCATTACTGAACAAAGCTAATGGTTTAAGGGGAAAAATGACGAAGGGGAAACCTACAGGTTAAAAGGCACTTAAGATATATAAACTGAAATGCATAAAATTTTCCATAATAAAAGTTTCCATAATAAAAATGTATAAAAAGAATAAAAATGTTAAAAATACCAAGGCCCACGCCCCCTTCTTAGATGTTTACTAGCTATGCATGATATCATAAAAACTAATGAAAAATAATATATGAAAGATTAAAAAATATATTTGAGATAGTTTACTAAGTTTAAAAACAAGCAAGGCATGGAACAAAATAATTGCCGGAATGCAGTCTAGCAATTATGTTAAAAAGGAGAGAGTAAAAATAATATTATTATATGCATCTATAGACAGTCCCCTACTTATGATGGTTCAACTTACAATTTTTCAACTTTATGATAGGGCAAAAGTGATATGAATTCAGTAGAAATCATATGTCGAAATTTGAATTTTGGTCTTTTCTCGGGCTAGCGATATGCGGCATGATATTCTCCCACGATGCTAGACAATGGCAGGGAGCTGCACAACCAGTCAGGCTGACCACCAGGGTAAACAACTGATAACTCTACAGTGCAATATTAAATGCAGTTTTGACTTACAATATTTTCAACTTAGGATGGGTTTATCGGGATGTAACCCCATAAGTTGAGAACTATCTGTATTTGTTTGTAAATGTATAAACTGTGAAAGTGTATTGAAAAAAATAACACTGGTTGTCTCCAGGATAGAAAGTAGGCAGTCAAAGGAAAGCAATGAAAAGATGGACACTTTACACTTTATAAACATTAAACATGCTTGTACTAGAAAAGAAGGTTCTCAAGTCATCATCTAAGCTTCCAACTTAAGACACTAGAAAAATAACAGCAAATTAAACCCAAAACAAACAGAAGGGGGAAAAATAATATGAGTAAGAGCAGGAATCAATAAAATTGAAAACAGAAAAAAAATTAATGAAACCAAAAGCTGGTTCTTCAAATAAATAAATAATATTGATAAATCTCTACCCAGACTGACTAAGAAAAAAATAGAGAAGGTACAAATGATCAATATTAAGAATAAAAAACAGAATATCACCACAAGTTCTACACACATTACAGAAATAATAAGAAAACATTACAAAAAACTTCATGTCCATAAATTCAACAACTTGGATGAACTGGACAGACACAAACTTCTCTTTGAAAAACACTTAACTACTAAAGCTCACTCAGGAAGAAACAGGTAACCTGAATAGAACCATCTCCATTATAGAAATTAAATCTGTATTTTTAAGCCTTCCAGAAAAGGAAGTTCCTCATTCAGCGGGCTGAATTATAAAGCAGTTAAAGCAGAAATAATTACATTTCTCCACTGACTTTTCCAGGGAATAAACAAGCATTATTTTGATACCAAACACACATAAAGACATTACAAAAGAATAGTCAGTGTCCCTCATGAATTTAGATGGCAAAAATCAACAAAATGTGAGCAAATTGAATATAACAATATATAAAAAGGGCCCAGGTAGAATGCACATCTTCAAAGAGGTTAACATAACATTAGACTATCAGGAGTCCTTTCTTCAAAGCTAGTCTCCGATAACATACTCCTCTCAGAGCAGAGAAAGTGATTTAGCTGATTAAGCTCTAAGGAAATTAGACAGTTTTGAGAAAAAATCTCCTCCAGGCTGAACAACAAATGTGGCCCCAAAAGGCGCCAGCCAGCCCCTCTGCCCAGCCATGCAAAAGGTATAAAACCCAAAGCTTTTGCCCTAACTAGTGGGCAACTAAGTCGGGACCCCTTCTCATTTTGAGAGCTGTTATTTTCTACTGTAATAAATTGTCCTCTGTTACACACTTTAAAAAAAAA